CGTTGTGGTTTCAGGGGGCGGGACCCGCTCCCCCGGCCCCCCGGGTATTTTTTGTGCGCGCGTTCGTGTGTTTTGGGACGTCGTTGTTTTTATGTCCCCGAAATACAACCACTTCTGGGTTTTCCCATAATACTAATGAGATACCATTAACATGGAGTAGTTCTAATAATTTAATACAGGTGTGGTTTAACAAGTCATCTTCACCCAGTTTGCACTACCTTTTTATACATGTGTACCCAATACTTGCTTCTCAGATTGTACTGTCTTTGTTGTCCTAAAACATTATCTCTGAAAACCCGTTGTCAGGGCTTTTCCCATTTGTCCTTGCTCCTACAAATTTTATCTTCCTACTACTGCTAGGTGTTGTGTGTATGATAATCGCTCTTGAGCAGGGTTAAGATAGCCAGCTACCAGTGTCCGCCGGGCCGGCTCTACCCTCAGACTTCCCGCCACCACAAACAAGTGATTTGTACGTTACTCAGAGGGGACGTCCATCCAGATGCCTGATGTATGATGCTCGCTGTACGCTGCTCGCTGTACGATGACTCGTACACCTCGCCCTTCCGCCGTTGACTTCTTCGGCTATACTTTTCTCTTGCCCTTGTGAGTCCTCATTTACCACACTTATCACTTGTATACTGCTACTTTTATAATTTACACTTCACTTTTGGTAAGTACACTACTTATTTGTGATGACACCAACTGTTATGGCGGCGCTACTCCTCAGGCCTACTGCTGCCACCACCTCTGCTTATATATATTTATGTATACATATATATATCCCCTTTCTGGCTAGCTTGTTCACGCTGTGTGCTACATCACATTTTGTCGTTACCACCCTCTCTTAATTCTATTTGGTCTTTTCTCTTTAGTCACTCGCTTTGTACTTTGTATATATGTAACAATGTGGCAACAGGTGCCCACTAGGCCTCAACGAACTGGCACTTTGAAATTTTGTTGTATAATTTCAGGCTTTCTCTCGCCTTTACTTTATTTATTTTTTCTAATACATTGGTTATCACTTGTAGGGTTGTTCACTGACGTTGTCACTAACACTGGTTGCTTCTAGCTGCTAAAACACGCCCTAAAAGCACTAAGATCCTCGGAGCCTGGCGCTTGTGACCCACTACACTGTCTCCACTGTGTGTGTGTGTGTGTGTGTGTGTGTGTGTGTGTGTGTGTGTGTGTGTGTGTGTGTGTGTGTGTGTGTGTGTGTGTGTGTGTGCGTGCGTGCGCGCGCGCCAGTGTGGGTGTATGATCCACTTAATATTTGTATTTATAACTCATTACAATTGTGACCAGGTGTGGACGTATCAGTGGTTCATTACTTTGTAATTTGTTCATGATTGTAACCATGTATAGGAGTGAAGCTGATTCATTACCTCTGTAACTTGCCATGATTGTGACCAGATCTACCTGGAGTTCATTACCTTTGTAACTAGTTCAGCTATCATAACTTTGGGGTCCAGTCCCTGGACCCATTATGTACCTCTGTAATCTTTTGACTACCACCCACAGGGTGGGTATGGGGTGCATAATAAATATATTAAACTAACTAACCCTGAATCCCTTCATAAATGTTACCTTGCTCACATTCCAACAGCACGTCAAGTCCTAAAAACTATTTGTTTATATTCGCTCCTATCTAACACGTTCATGTATGTACATGTACCTGTAGAAATAAATATAGTATTATTATAGGTTAGTCAACGAATTAAAAAGGGAATTTCCAACCATCTCATGTAGAATGCTGAAGGGTTCATCAGTACTGAATCCTCGAGATGTTTCATGTCTAGAGGAATCTTGTATTCTAGAGATGACACTGAACTACGGTATCAAAAAGGAAGATTTAAATGTTGAGCTTCACCAAGGACGACACCTTGAGAGAAAAAAAAAACATGGTCATGCTGTCACAATTGTACTTGAATCTGCTACTATGCTAATACCATACTGTGATGCTTGTATGGAACTGCGTAGTGTGGTGTGCATCAGGGTGACTTGCCGATTAATTCTGTAGCACGTTAAGGCGGTCTTTCCCTGCATGCGGCTGGCAAATTCTTGCTTAAGGAACATCAGTAGTGACAATAGTACAGGTACTATTGCAGTTATATCTATAAATAAATTCGTAAAGAGCCAAGAGTGAAAGTTGAAGGTATCACTGATACTTTTGTTTCTAACCATAACAGAATCATATAGCTATAACTTTATTGTAGTCACCCTGAGCCTCTCATGAGAGCAGAATGAATCCATTATATTCTTCCTGTTGGTTTAGAAAGACACGTAAGCAAACACTATAACATATTTATTAGAAAACGTTTTCTAATAAATATGTTATAGTGTTTGCTTACGTGTCTTTCTAAACCAACTTGTCGGTATTTATTACCAAGGTTTATACCATATTCTTCCTGTACATCGACCCTTTCCGGTTTAACGCCTATGATTATATTATCATCTTCTTGTATATCATTACATTAATATGGTCATTGTTTTGATAAAAAGTAATTTAATGTAATTTTATGTAATTATTCAAATTCAAAGTTTATTCTCTATAAGGATTACAATGCTGAGTTTACAGAATTTGGTTATTGTGTGGTTTACATGTAGTAAAATAATAATTACAGAGTGTACCACTAGAACACCTAGCATGGCTAGGCATTTCGAGCAGACTTAGTTTAATTCTTAATTTTAAAATATTACAAATTATGAGGTAAGTTGGTATTATGGCTAAGTGACTAAATACTAGTTTGTGAGTTTAGCAATGTGAATGCTTTTGTTTTGGCATAGTACATAGTTTCAGTATTGGAGTATCACAGGCCAACTTATGACTAGTTAGGATTCATTATTTTAAGATTGAGATTGATATTTCTGTTTATGGTCAAATGGGTGAGTAAGTGTGAACCACCAGGTGGTATTCGTGTAGTTAGTTGACAGGGTGTATCAGGGAGATAAGATGTTTTCTAATGATAGTTTTGAAGGTGATGAATGTGTCTGCAGTTCTAGAGTTCTCAGGTAGGGTGTTCCAGATTTTAGGGCCTTTGACATACATTTAATTTTTGTAAAGGTTTAGTCGGACACGGGGAATGTCGTAGAGATGTTTGTGTCTGGTGTTATGCCTGTGGGTTCTGTCACAACTATCAAGAAAGCGTTTTAGGTCAAGGTTAATATTGGAATTTAAGGGCGTTGCCCCCCGGAACACTCCAGATATATAGTGTGAATAAAAAACAAAAGGGCACAATACTGTGACTGGAACAATATACAAATAATCCGCACACATAGAGGAGCTTACTGGCTCCATCTCTCTTTTCTGTTAGTGTGACTTTGTAAATGGTCCAAGTCGGACCGAACGTCGTCGTAAGTTCCTCTCTCGGCCTGAGATCTATAACCCACTATGATAACATGAACGTAGATAAATATGTTTATGGAGCAACTTGCAATGTGAACACACTGACTGATGTTGTAGTTAGTACTTTAATATGTTTATTATGCACCCCATATCCATCCTGTGGGCGGTAGTCAAAATATTACAAAGGTACATAATGGGGTCCAGAGACTGGACCCCAAACCATACCATGGGCGGGAATAGAACCTACGATCAGAGTTCTGTCCCCGCCCGTGGTATACTTTGTTTGCAATCGTGTCATTACGATTTCGTGAGTCACACTGAGCCCCAAAGTTTTGAGAGCTGAGCAAGTTACAAAGGTAATGAACTCCAGGTAGATATGGTCACAATCATGACAAGTTACAAAGGTATTTACAGATTACAGAGGTACATAATGGGTCCAGGACCAGGCTAAGGCTTGATTACAAGTACTTCTGGCAGTTTGGGAGACACACAGATGATGATTAAACTAAATGCAAATTATGTGATCAGGCATATGGTCACTGTCTTGAACACTATGTGCTTAATTGTCCACTTATTGAGGAATACAGAGATAGACAGTATAATAACCTATGTGGTATGTCAAAATATCTTATTACTGAAAATAAGATACCAGATACACTAAGCAAATTTCCTAAATTTGCTTGTAACAGATAAGTGAACTGTAGATACGTAGATATAAATCCATATGTATACCTGTTAACCCTTTTGGGGCCTAGTTCCTAGGCCTTTTGTGTATTCATATGCTCTTGCGGAGTCGTCCCCCTAGCCCCCTATCCAACTAGCTAGCCCCCCAATAAAAAAAATCCTGACGCCTTCCCTGCACTATTACCAATTTTTACAAGAGTTATTCAGTTATTCAGGCTAAGACGTTGTGTAGTTTTAAAAATAGGTTAGATAAATACACGAGTGGGTGTGGATGGGTGTGAGTTGGACCTGACTAGCTTGTGCTGCTGGGTTTGGTGCAGTGCTCCATCCTTGAGTGGAGATGACCAGACTGGGTGGGTCATTGGGCTAATCCGGGAGGGGGGGGGTCATTGGTCTAATATGGGGGGGACATGGACCTGCTCCGCATGGGTCAATAGGCCTGTTGCAGTGTTCCTTCTTTCTTATGTTCTTATGTTTTTAAGAGAGGACTAGGTAGGCCTGGCTGACACTAGGACCCGGGGTAGGGAGAGGGAGAGGATGCAAGGAGCCGTCAATAGGTACGTAGATGTTAAAAAAAAAAAAAAAAAAAAAAAGCAGCTAGGTATATGTTGTAGATTACAAAAAACACTAAAAGCATGCTAGAATGACAGTAATCGTTTTCTGTATGCCTGAAGCACAACAAGAGTCAGCATCCACTTGTGTAAGTTGTATTAACACTTGGTGAGGATAATGTCAATATCTAAGAAATCAGCCAATTTATCTTTATCCACAAAAGTAATCCGAGTAAACATTCATGAGAATGAGGAGGTAAAAGAAAAATAATATTAAAATGTTACAAAAGAAAATGACAGATGAACAAATAACAAAAAGTTTTTAATGCATAATATAACCGATTATTAACCAGTATTACTGACAAGAATAAATAATGTAAACAAAGACCAGGTTTCGTATACAGAACTTGCTTGACTAGTACCTGTGAATCCAACAAGGACTTGAAAGAGCGCAGAGACTACAATAGCGCCTTGGACTTCCCGCATCCGTTCCTGCCAAACTTCTTCCCGTTCAGGGGCCGTCATGTTGGCCAAGGGCAGGAGGTCACAGGTATCAAAAGTGGTAGTAAGAATGGCAATAGTGGGCACCAGGAAGCTGAATGTCCCACCTTGAACTATGGGCAACCTGTGAAAGCAAGACAGGGTACAATACAGTCATTAATTGCATCTGCTAGTAAACAAGTGGTAATTAACCCATTAGGTGCCTCTGTAATCTTTTGACTATCGCCCACACCATAGGTATGGGGTCTATAATAAAAGTATTAATCAAATATTTTACTGTTTAAACAAGGAAGGGATGAAGACATGTTACTGGCATGTCGGCACGCCTCTGGCAAGACAGCGATGGAGTGTATGATGAAAGTGTTTTTTCCTTTTCGGGTCACCTTGCCTTGGTGGGAAACGGCCGATGTGTTTATAAAGAAAATAAATTTTCATGGGTGTGAAGATGGAAAATTCCAATTGTTTTTTGTTAAGCTTGTATTACAGCATATCCGGCATGTACAAAACTAATATAAGACCATAACTAAACTGTAAGAATACTGAGATGAGACGCGCGTCCTGGACGTCAGCGGTGAGGTGTTAAGCGTTCTGTAATAATATTAATTGTTCTCAGTGACCTTGTCTTGCTGTGTGTGGAACCAAACAACTTAAGTAATGTCGCAGATTTTAAGAATCTTTTAATAAGTCATCAAGCTAATCATCATCATACAAACAAAATGAACTTTCATATCCACAAGATACAATACATATTTCTACAAGGATCATTGAATCAGTTTGAAATAATAAATCATACTTTTAAAACTGTACTTTTAGTACTAATTAGCTATCTTTCTTACTGTGCATATTATGTAATTGTAGTTAATTGCTTAAAAAATCCTGCTTAACTGAAGATCACTAAATCAATGTAAAATATAAAGTCATTCTTGTAAAAACTGTACCATTATTCATTAGCTACCTTTCTTGTGCATATAATTGTAATTAACTACATAAAAAATCGTACTTAATAACTCTATGTCTAATTCTTAGGCAGTCTTTAAGCATTAGAATTAGTTTGCTAGAAATGCATTTGCATACTAATGGCTTTCTTTCCCGCCTAACTGTGTTTTATTACATGTAAATTACGTTACTTTTGTACAGCATAAGATAAATGAAAATCTGAAGCTTAGATGACATTCGAGAGTTCCCGGAAAGCCCGTGATTATGCATGGCATTTCGGGCAAGTTAAAACCTAACACTAATATGAAGAACATATATAAAATAAGTCATGCTAATAAATATAACAGACAAACATACATGGGAACAGTAAATGACCACTGTTCTAAAAGAATGAGAAACGTAACCGACCACTGTTGACAAAAAATGAAAAATGTAAATGATCACTGTTCATAAAAATGAGAAATGCAATTGACCATTGTTAGAAATGCAGATGACCACTTAATAAAAAATGAGAAATGCAAGTGACCACTGCTGACAGAAAACTGAAACCTAGCTTAGCACTGTACGTAGATAAAGACACATACGATGCAGGTTTTTAGTTGTTGTTGTTCTACATACTATCGGTATCACTATACCTCCTCCAGTCTTACTTAACACTGGTTACAGTACTGTATGTAACCACTGATAATAAGGGGGCCCCGTGGCCTGGCTGGCAAAGCTCTCGCTTCACACGCTGAAGGTTTGGGTTCGATTCCCGGCAGGGGTTGAAACATTGGACGCGTTTCCTTACACCTGTTGTCCTGTTTACCTAACAAGTAGGTACATGGGTGTTAGTCAACTGGTGTGGGTCGCATCCTGGGAAACAAAATTGAGGGTCCCAATAGAAATAACACAGACAGTCTCTCGATGACGTACTGCCTTTCTTGGGTTATCCTGTGGGTTACCCTGGATGGCTAACCCTCCGGGGTTAAAAATCCGAACAAAATCATATCTCAATATACGAGAACCGTCTGACTACTGCTGATTGATGAGAGGCTTACCTGACCACCGTTGACGGATGCAAACTGCCGATCTGACCATGATAAGAGGCTTACCTAACACCGAAGGTGGCTTGAAGGAGTGTAATCATGCCGGACACGAAGATGATGGTTGACACTATCTTCCCCCTGACAGGATCATTGTCATCGATGCACATGAGTGGTGTGAGGATGAAGGGAATGGTGATGGTGCCGCCCACCATGGTCAAGTAATGCTGCAAGATGCCCGTGGCAGACGATGAGAACGTAGCAATGATAATGACAGCAAGTGGAAACGGTGAAAATTAGTAGAGTATAAATGATGATGGCAGAGGACTGCAAAGATGAGAAAAATGTGACAGGTCTTATAATAATGAAAACTGATGAAAAATAGTGAAAACTGTAATGACATTATTCCTCCCGTATACGAAATACGGTGGTGAATGACAGAGTAAATTTTAGTCTTACTATCTACACTAAGATGACTGTCATCTTCATTCACACTGAAAAGGATTTAAATGTTGCCCAACGTAAGTTTGTCACAGCTAATAGTAGCCATAACTTTATAAATACGAAAAAATGCTTAATAACTGTAATATGAGACTCGTCTAAAAATTATGCATTTAAGCCCATTTTATCTCCGCACAAAAACCCTTGCTAATCACAAATGATCTCAAACAGAGGTGTACACGGTGTACAAGATATTGTACAATGAAAATAAAGTATACAAAAATTAAATTTATGAGCTTATAAGAGATCTTTGTGAATATAATAATCCTAGGTAGTAATAAAAGGTTGACTCACCTGTAGACCCAAGAAAATACACATATACCAGGGAGGAACATCATCTACTGTATACACGAGTTCGTTCTGTGATATTTGCGGCTGTGTGGACGGTAGTTCCTCAGAATATGTTGAGACAGGAACTACTACTACATTATTTAATGTTGGTTGGTCTGGTTGAGTTGAGTTTGGTCCTGTTGGTCGTGTGGCATTTTCCAGAGTCACCTCATCCTGTTTAGGGACTGACAGAGCGATGCCATTATCTGTGGTGGGGGTCGAGACATCTGTACCCTCAGCTGATGTTACCTGTATAAAACAAGTGTCACTGAGCTTAGGAATGAATACATACTAGACGCACAGATATTTCACTTGTACATACATAATGTGCTATATATAACAAAAGCAGATTCCCAGTTAATATTAATAGCTGAAAAATTCTTGAGTCAATTATGTTTCACGACACAGTTTCAACATCCACTATGACCAGTGGAAATTTGCTGCAATAACTACCCAGGCCTCAAAGTCTCTTTTTCCTACATTTGGTTTCTTTAAGGACTTTGTCCATTTCCTGCTGCATAAAGTTTTTTAAATATGGCATGTAGTTATTAGACTAAAAATTCAGTACCAAACCCCAATGTTCGTTTTTTAGGGTTGACCAGTCTTTAATTAATACACATTTTTATATTATTATATTTTATTATTATATATTTTTATATATTTATAATTTATTTAAATATATTTTTATAAAATGTATATTTCAAGAAGGCACTGGACGGGCCCTAAAGTCGTACCGACCAACCGGGCGTGGTTCGTCGTCAGCTTGCTGCGCCCAGCGTAACGCTGGTTTGATCAGCCCCTGTCCCCGTGGGGCCGGTTCAGCCGGGCCCGCGGGGGCGTGACCCCAAAAAACCCATCCGGGTGTGGTGTGTGTGGTGGTGTGTGTGTGTGTATTTTATATTTTTATATATTTTAAAAATTTAAAATTTTATATATATAAAAATATATATAATGCACAGGAAATTGAAAAGAGCAAGGGGGAAATATACACAAAATGATCTCGGGTAAAGGGACTCGAACTCGAACCTTGGACAAGGTACGCAGTGTTTTATAATCCCACAGGGGGACAATACCTTGGCGTGTAGCTGCGCTACACGTTTTTATCCAAGGGAACCCGCTTTCAGGGGAGGCTTAAGCTTTTAATTCATCACGCATACTTGGATCAAAAGTGTGCGCTAGTACACGCCCAAGGGATTGTCCAGTGGGGGTAGATTGGAAAAAATGCGCCTTGTCCCAAGGTTTGTAGGTTCGATTCCCCTTTAGCCGGATAAATGTTTTTTATATATTATTATATATATATATATAAAAAAAAAGAAAAAGAGAGAGTAGAGAGAGAAGAAAGAAAGGAGAGAGAGAGAGAGGGGAGAAGAGGAGAGAGAGAGAGAGGGAGAGAGAGAGAGAGAGAGAGAGAGATTACTGTGTGTGTGTCTCGTTCCGAATAGGTAAATTAAGTCCTTTCTAAAATTTTCTCTTATGTGTTTAAAGATATACATTTTTTCACTTACGTTCAAGTAAAAATTAATAATTTTGTACCAAAAAAAATGAGAAAACTTACCTGACCTTATTATAACAAGCGCAATTTAATTTAGCCTAATCCAACTAAATATACTTTAGGTAAGTTTACAATAATTTAATAATAAACAAACACAATGAAATAAATTTTTGTCGTTAGGTTCAGAATGATTTTTGCGAAATTATTGCACACACAAATTTTCGCTTGCCTTATTCGGCAAGAAGACCGTTGTTATTTAAGCCAAAATCGCAAGTTTTACATATCCGGCACGATATATATATATAATTAAGGAATAACTAATTTAAGAGCATTTTAGGAAAAAAGATGTTTACTTCCTGTATGACAGCTGGTATCCACGGTTAACAAACAGGAAATCTGCTGGTCTTTCCCCACAATTAAAATCCTAAAAGCATTCCCAGGCCTGAAGCATACGGGGAAAACCCCCAAGCATTTCGGCATTTTTTCCTTATTTCACGTTTCGTCGGAAGGAAAAAAAATAAAAGAAAGCCGGAGTTAGAAGGAACGACTCATATGTTGATGTATCATACTTTTTTTTTTTTTCAACAAGTCGGCCGTCTCCCACCGAGGCAGGGTGAGCCAAAAAGAAAGAAAATCCCCAAAAAGAAAATACTTTCATCATTCAATACTTTCACCTCACTCTTACATAATCACTGTCTTTACAGAGGCGCCCAGATACTACAGTTTAGAAGTCCTTCCAAACTGTCAATATCTCAGACCCCTCCTTTAAAGTGCAGGCATTGTACTTCCCATTTCTAGGACTCAAGTCCGGCTAAATCTATAATAACCAGTTTCCCTGAATCCCTTCACTAAATATTACCCTGCTCACATTGCAACAGCTCAAGTCCCACAAACTGTGCGTCTCCATTTACTCCTATCTAACACGCTCACACACGCTTGCTGAAGTCCAAGCCCCTCGCCTACAAAACCTCCTGTACCCCGTCCCTCCAACCTTTTGGAGGACGACCCCTACCCCTCCTTCCTTCCCCTACAGATTTATACGCTCTCCATGTCATTCTACTTTGATCCATTCTCTCTAAATGATCAAACCACTTCAACAACCACTCTTCAGTCCTCTGATTAATACTTTTAGTAACTCCACACCTCCTCCTAATTTCCACACTACGAATTCTCTGTATAATATTTACACCACACATTGCCCTTAGACAGGACATCTCCACTGCCTCCAGCCGCCTCCTCGCTGCAGCATTTACAACCCAAGCTTCACACCCATAGAAGAGTGTTGGTACCACTATACTTTCGTACATTCCCTTCTTTGCTTCCATAGAGAACGTTTTTTGTCTCCACAGATACCTCAACGCACCACTCGCCTTCTTTTCCTTCATCGATTCTATGATTAACCTCATCCTTCATAAACTCATCTGCTGACAACTCTCAAATATCTGAAAACGTTCACTTCTTCCATAATCTCTCTCTCCAATGTAATATCCATTTTTTCTTTATCTAAATCATTTGAAACCCTCATCACCTTACTCTTATCTATGTTCACTTTCAACTTTCTACCTCTACACACCCTCCGAAACTCGTCTACTAACCTTTGAAACTTTTCTTTAGAATCTCCCATAAGCACAGTATCATCAGAAAAACTTCAACCTCACATTCTAATACTGCATTTTTAAAACTATCCCAACCCTCTTTAACACCCTCCCCCCCCATCACTACTAATACTGTAAAGTAAAAGGACACAAGTGCAACTAATGTGACATTTATTGTGGCAACGTTTCGCTCTCCAGGAGCTCCTGGAGAGCGAAACGTTGCCACAATAAATGTCACATTAGTTGCACTTGTGTCCTTTTACTTTACATATTGTCGGTAATTCTACCAACTTTATTACACTACTAATACTTTCAGAAATCTCCAGAAATTTCCAAATCTATCACACTCTCTCTCTCTCTCTCTCTCTCTCTCTCTCTCTCTCTCTCTCTCTCCTCTACACTTCTGTCTTCTCCAGGTGCATATGCGCTTACTATAACTCACTTTTCACATCCAACCCTTATTTTACACCACAATCCTTGAATTTATACATTTATATTCCCTCTTTTCCTGCCATAACTTATCCTTCAACAATATTGCTACTCCTCCTTTAGCTCTAACTATTTGAAACCCCTGACCTAGTCCCATTTATTTTTCCCCACTGAAACTCTCCCACCCCCTTCAGCTTTGTTTCACTTAAAGCCAGGACATCCAGCTTCTCATTCATAATATCCACAATCATCTCTTTCTTATTCCCACAACATCCACGCACATTCAAACATCCCACTTTGACGATTTTCTTCTTTTTAGTAAGCTATACAAGAAAAGGGGTTACTAGCCCATTGTTCCCGGCATTTTAGCTGACTTTTACTACACTCAAGACTCAAGACAAGAAGTTCACTTTCACTTATTATATAAGGGATGGGATACATGGTGTGGATATATGGACTAATACAGATATAAGATACAGTGATATGGCTGGAACAATTCATAGCCCTTAAAGAGGGAAAGTGTGTATGTGTAGGGGGAGGTGCTTGTGAAGGGCTTTTGATCCAAGGAACTTCAGCTACCCCTCTCCTTTGTGTTAAGCCTAACTGACTGTCTCCCATTCCCCATGGTTCTACTTCCCCATAAATACGAGTACTAGTCTACAAAATGTATCTTTCTATTCATTTAGAAACCAAACTGGTAGTCAAAGCTAACTTTGATGCGCTGATTACTAATCTGAGCTTGTTTAGTCTATAACGTCAAGTTTTTTGAAATCTTATGATCAACGTTTTGGCTATTTAAATTTGAAGACTCACTTGATATACTGTACGTTGCCCACTAATCAAAGGAATTATGCATACATATGAAGTGTGGTAAAGGTAATGACAAAAACTAAACTTTCTTTTTGTAATATATACAGGGTGTCCACAAAAACACTCCCTGATTTCAAACAGGTATAACATGTAACTTTATTTTAATAATCTTTCACAGTCACTAACTTCAGATGCAGGATTTCGTTCAGTTTTATGTGGTATAAGGTACCATTAAAGGCACTAAGTGTGCGCCCCTCTGGTTGCTCAGCAAACATCGATGCGATAGTCCAGTTCGGTCCAGACGCTCTGCAGCATGTCTGGAGTTATCATGCGAACTGCTTCAGTGATCGAAATTTTCAGCTCCTCCAGGGATGCAGGTAGTGGTGGTACGTAAACTATGCTCTTCACGTACTCCCAAAGAAAGAAGTCACAAACAATTGGGTCCGGTGACCTCGCAGGCCACTTGCAGAGGTCACCGGACCTGTTTGTGACTTCTTCCAACAACCTCTGCAACTTCTCTTCAAAATATCCCAAAAGCATAGTGTCATCAGCAAAGAACAACTGTGACAACTCCCACTTTGTATTAGATTCTTTATCTTTTAACCCCAAACCTCTTGCCAACACTAGAGTATTCACTTCTCTTACAACCCCATCTATAAATATATTGAACAACCATGGTGACATCACACATCCTTGTCTAAGGCCTACTTTTACTGATAAATAATCTCCCTCTCTCTCCTACATACTCTAACCTGAGCCTCGCTATCCTCGTAAAAACTCTTCACTGCTTTCAATAACCTACCTACTATTCCATACATTTGCAACATCTGCCACATTGCCCCCCTATCCACCCTGTCATACGCCTTTTCCAAATCCATAAATGCCACAAAAAAACTCTTTACCCTTATCTAGATACTGTTCAC